TCGGCCTCCCAAAGTGCTGGAATTACAGGTATGAGCCACTGTTCCCGGACCATTTCTGATTTTATTTATTTGTGTCTTCTCTCCTTTTTCATGGTTAATCTAGCTAGCAATTTATCAATTTTGCTTACTTTTTCAGAAAGATGACTTTTCATTTCATTGATCTTTTGTATTATTTTTTAAGTCTGTATTTCATTTAATTTTTTATTATTTATTTTCTTCTGCTAATTTGGAGTTTGGATTGTTCTTGCTTTTTTTTTTTCTTTTTCCTTCGAGTCAGGGTCTTGTGCTGTTGCCCAGGCTGGAGTACAATGGCTCTGTGATGGCTTATTGCAGCCTTGAACTTCTGGGCTCAAGTGATCCTCCCACTTCAGCCTCCTAAGTAGCTGGGACCACAAGTGTGCACCACTGTGTCTGGCTAATTTTTTTTTTTAATGTTTTGTAGAGACAGGGTCTCCCTGTGTTGCCCAGGCTGGTCTCAAACTCCTGGGCTCAAGCCATCCTCCTGCCTCAGCCTCCCAAAGTGCTGGTATTACAGGAGTGAGCCACCATGCCTGGCCTGTTCTCTCTGTTCTGGTTCCTTGAGGGCATCTTTAGATCATTTATTTGAAACCTTCCTACTTTTTTGATGTAGGTGTTTATTGATATAAACTCCCCTCTTAGCACTGCTTTTGCTGTATCCCGTAGGTTTTCATATGTTGTATGTCAATTTCCATTTGTTTCAATAAATTTTTTAAAATTTTCTTTATGATATTTTACATTTCTTCTATGTTGTGGAATCTATTGAGTTTTACTTTATGATTCATCCTTGCTTTTTAAAACATTTAATTTTATTTAATGGTTCAGTAATAATAAAAATACCCTTTTACGTGTTTACAGTATCTCACTGTCTACATACACTATTTCAAGCTTTTGGAGTAGAGACAATTAAACCAGATTCTTGTGTAAATGAGTTTCTTTAAATAACTTTACATTCTTTACATAATGGTTCTTTTGAAGCTTAACAAGTTCTTTCTCAACAACTGTATTTTTTTTCATATGGGATTGACTAAGTATGTCAAAATATGAAACAAAATAAAATGGAAAACCATGAGGTCCTTAAGTCACGTGACATACCTATATTTGGTGACATTTACAGAGATGAACGACATTATTGAGGAGTAAGGAGAAATACAATGCAGCAAATCAAGAACATGCCACTCATGTGAGAGTGAACATCTATTTCCAGGCATGAGAAAGGTCTGCAGAGTTCTTACCAAAATTCTGTCAGTGTTTATTTCTGTCTTGAGAAGTCAGATGATTTTTATGATCTTTTTTGTGCTTTTCTAATTTGTTTAATATTTTACAATAAGCATGTATCATTTTTACTAAAACAACCACGTTATTGTTTAAAACCGGAACAAAATTTTTCTACATACAGAAGGATAATAGTATTTGTCTATATTTTTTTCTGGTCTTTTAAGTGTTTATACACACAGAGAGACTGGAATAAAGTTTTCCTTAGCATTTAAATAATTTCCAAGAGATATATACATTTCTACGTATGGGTTAAATAAACACACATATATCAATAAACATATATTCTAACAAACTTAGGCCTGCTAAATGCTGGCTAAAAGTTCCTAGTGAAAAGAACTCTTAGGTGAACTATATTTTTCTAATCTGCAGACTCTCCTACTGCATAACTCTGGATGATGTCATACAAACCTCTTCCTGCATCTGGGACTCCTTCCAGCTGCTACATGTGGGAGCTTCCCGTTTTTGTTCTAACTGAGTGATGTTTACTGGAAATGGAGTCTGCTAATAAGATCTCAGTTCAGATAGCTTTGTGGGGACAGGAAGAATGATTGTGAAATGAATTTGATCAAAAACCTTTACTTTCTCCCTTGTCATTATCTTGTTTTGATAGGTTGGCTTAGTTTTGTTTTGAAATTACCTCTTCTGAGAAACCAAAGAGGAATGATATGCGCTGTCTTCTTCTTCCTCCTCCTCCTCCTTTTCCTCTTCCTACCAAGACTCCCAACTGAGACTGTTTTTCAGTCTGTCCCTCCATACATACCTGCACACTCACACGTCTACTAGAGAGTATATGGAGACAGGCAAGAGCCCTTAGAAAGATAGCTGGGTAATGTATTACTCTGTTTTCTTGGATTTGGATGGAACTTACGACAACATTTAGATGTGAACAAAAAAGGCAAGAGGGTTTGTCCCAGAATGCACAACTGGTTATGGCAGAACAAAGTGGTGGTGAACCTAGATTTCATTATCTCTTAGCTCAGGGCCTCTGGATTAAAACCCGTAAACATTGTTCACATTTTTTTGGAACTATGCATAAGGGCAATTTAGAGTTCCAGGTAAGAGAATGCCGCATAACAAGAGTTGATTGTTTTAAGAAGTTGTTTTATGTTCAAGATCAGCTACGTAAAATTAAAGAGAAAAGCTCCTAAATATACTGAATTCTTTCATTTTTGTGGATCTCCTTGATTGTGATTTGCAAGCTCAGAAGTATTTACAGTTTTTCTCAAAAATTTTAAGATGAAAACTCTCAAGTCCAATTAATTGAAAAGCTTAAGACTACTCTATACCATGCTTCACTTTAGAAAGTAGGGAGTTTGTTGCAAATTCAAACAAGGATGTGGTGTCACAACTCATGAAAGGAATCTCTTATCAAATATCTATCCTACCATCAAATTGCCATTACATCTGCCCGAATGCACGTGGGACACAGTTGCGTCAGAAAGGCTAAAACTCCAAATAAGTTCACGTTATTCTGAAACTATCAGATTATGTGATGGATGTAATTTGGGTGTTACAATCTCTGTAGTAAAGTTCGAGGAATAATGCCAGGTATGGCTGAGTGCAGTGGCTCATGCCTATAAGACCAGCCTGGGCAACACAGTGAGATCCCATCTCTACAAAAAATATAAAAATTAGCCAGGCGTGGTGGAGTCGGGTGCACCTGTAGTCCCATCTACTCAGGAGGCTCCAGTGGGAGGATTACTAGAAATCAGGAGGTTGAGACTGTAGTGAGCCATGTTTGTGCCACTGTACTCCAGGCTGAGCAACAGAGCAAGACTCTGTCTCAAAAAAACAAAAATAAATAAAAAATAAATAAAAACCCATCAAGTAGAATGTAGGGCCAGTGTCAGTGGGGGGCATAGTGAAAACAGAGATCTTCAATTCTCTTCTGTTTCTAACTTTTGGGACAAGGACATTTTTTTCTCCACATGGGATGAGTAAGGTGAGGAGAAATAGAGAAAGAGCATAAACTTTGGTAAGCGAAGATAGAAGCCCAAGATGGAATAATAGAGTGAGAAAGAGTCCAAAGCTGCTCCAGCTATTTCGAGTCCCCAGTTTTGAAGAATGATGTCTTAGGGTCCTGAGAAAACATTGTTGTGGGATCACCAAACAATTGTCAGGGATATTTGGGGCATCATAGAAAATACGAGGGATTCCAGAGCACTGGCAACAGTGGAGTATTCTGATTTTCAGAAAGAGAAAGCAGAGCCAGAAAAAATGTAGATAATGGTCTGTAATCTCAATCTTAGGCCACAGTCTAGAAGGGGGGTTATTAGAGGAACAGTTTCAGGTACTAGATAAAAAAGGAATGATTAAGATCCAGATGAGTTCACTAAGAACAAGTCAGGGCTAATTTATCTCTTCTATTTGACAGAGTTACCAGCCCAGGACCTCAGGGAATGCCCATACACATAGAATATTTTGTTATCAGACATTTAATAAAGTTTTTTTTAGTAATATTCTTTTGGACAAGTCAGAGAAATATAAACTGAATTCTGGCACTCTGAATGAATTAGAAACCAGTCCATTGCGCACACAGGTGCTGGGTAACAAACTGTGAAGAAGCATGCAGTGGTGAGTCCCAGGCTGTGTCCTTCACTGTCTCCTCATAAATGCTTTCAGAATAAATACACAGAAGGCGTGCTCATCAGATTTACAGGCAACCTGAAGTTAGGGGGAATATGAATACTTGAATGGCAGAACGAAAATCCATAGACTGAATCTAAAAGGATGAAATTTAAGAGCAATTAATATGAGGTCTAAGGAATTAAATATGTTAGTGAGAATAAGTAATACTTGCTTTAGTGGTAACTAAGAGCCTTAACTCAATATGAGTCAGAAGTGTAATGTGTTTGCCAAAAAAACTAAGATTTTAGGCTGTATCCAGTGGTGTGGTAAATATTTAACAACTGGCCCTGGGTTGGGGGCGGAGAGAAGGAGGGACTTTGATTTATAGCTCTGACCAATCTCTGTAGTGTAAATACTCTCACCTTGGCCAATTTCAAGGTATTGACCTTGTGACACTGAACTCAGAGTTTGGAAGAGACGTGCGATAGCATGCCATTATGTGGTATTTTCACCACACAGACGCAGTAGATGTGATTAACCTCAAGAGGAGAGATAATAATAAAAAGCAGTAAAATTATTAGGAAGTAATATTTTAATTACTTATTACCTTTGTTTTTAAGATATCTAATTGTAGGCTTATGTAATTTAACTTTAATTTTTAAAATTATTGTTATTTTTTTTGAGACAGGGTCTTGCTCTGTTACCCAGGCTGGAGTACAGTGGCGTGATCTCAGCTCACTGCAGCCTCAATCTCCCAGGCTCAAGCGCTCCTCCCACCTCAGCCTCTTGGATAGCTGAGACCACAGATGTGCCCCACCATGCTTGGCTAATACTTTTTAAAATTTTCTGTAGAGACGGAGTCTCACTATATTGCCCAGACTGGTGTGAATTCCTGGGCTCAAGCAATCCTCTGGACTTGGCCTCCCAGAGGGCTGGGATACATTAGCCACCATGCCCAGGATAATTTAACTTTTACTTAGAACTGCATTTGACAACTAGCTCAGAAAATTCTTGAACATTTAACTATCAGCTCTTGCAAGTTTGTGCACATGGGCTCTGGACCATGGTAACCAGAAATGTGGTCACTGGTAGAAGGGAGGTGATAACCCTGCTGTTCTCTGCATTTGTCAGGACACACCCAGATCCCTTTATTCCAGAGCACATAACTTAAAGTCACACTTTCCTGAGATCAGAGCAGAGGATGGCAGAGAACCAAAGTCACGAGTGTGTGAAACAACGGAGAGGAGCAGCGCTGTGCAGGCTGGAGCTCAAGACACTTGCGTGAGCGGTAAGGGTGAGAGGGACAGGGGAGAGCTCGTTTTCAAATATTTGAGAGGCTGTTGTATAAGGAAGGATTAGGGCTCTAATTGGTGTGTAGAAAAGGATACAAGGAGACAAATTTTCTGTTCAATATAAGAAAGACATTCTGGCTAGGTGTGGTGGCTCATGCCTGTAATCCCAGCACTTTGGGAAGCTGAGGTGGGCAGATCGCTTGAGCTCAGGAGTTCGAGACCAGCCTGGGCAACATGGTGAGACCCGTCTCTACTAAAAATAAATAAAAATAATTAGTTGGGAATAGTGGCACACATCTGTGGTCCCAGCTAGTCAGGAGGCTGAGACAAGAGAATCGCTTGAACCCAGGAGGCAGAAGTTGAAGTGAACTGAGATCGCTCCACTGCACTCCAGCCTAGGTGACAGAGCAAGACCTTGTCTCAAAAAAAAAAAAAAAAAAAAAAAACCAACAACAACAAAAAAACATTTTTTGGGGGAGGGGAGAAAAAAGAAAGAAATTTCTTACAGGCAAAGCTATCAAAAGAGGAATGGACTGAAGGCAGTCCTGCGGAATATGGGCAATGACCTTTAGGGATGGTGTAGAGATGGTTCATGCATCAAAAGAGGGAATGGGGCTGGATAATCTTGAAGATGTCCCCAAGTCTCTGCCTGATTTTTGATCCATTGTGCTTTCTAGTTACCTCAGCCTCCCAAAGTGCTGGAATTACAGGTGTGAGCCGCCGCTCCCAGCCAACAACTATCAATTTTATATCTAATCTTATATCATCTATCCTCATATCTTCCTACCACCCATTCTTCCAGATTCTTGTGGAACAAATGCAAATGCCTGACATCATATTATTGAGTCCATAAACACGTCAGTGTGCATCTCTAAAACATAACAGCATTTTGAAAATATACCCACAATACTTTTTATCACACTTAAGAAATTAATATTGATTCTCTAATATCATCTAATATGCAGTCATTATTTAAATTTTCCCATTTTTGTCATAAATTTGTAATTTGAGCTTGCTCAAGTCAGGATGTGGGGTCCACACATCACCATGGTTAGATGTGTTTCTTAAATCTCTTTTAGGCTGTAAGTTTCCCTTTCATTATTTATTTGTTGAAGGTGCTGTGTTATTTGTCGTATAGAATTTCCCAGTCTGAATTTTTAAAAATTGCATTATGGTATATTTAACAAGTTCCTCTTTCCCCTATATTTCCTGTGATAACGCTTATGTTTGATTCCTTGGGAAGGAATGCTTTGTGAGTGATGTTCTGTATTTCTCACTAGGAGAATAGTGAGAAATACAAATAGTGAGAAATTGTGACATCAGCAGCCACTGATGATAAGCGTCTAGATCTGTTAATTCATTTACAATTCTAAATGGTGATCTTTTAATCTCTCATTGCTCCTTTAATTATTAGCTGGAATACTTTTATAAAGAGAAATATCCCCTTATCAATAATTTGGTTATGCTGAAGCACAGAAAATGTAAGATAAATGCTACATTACTTATGAAATTCAAAACAATGAGTTGGTTCACAAGCATCTGCCTAGGAAGACCAATGAGCTGTTTTGTTTCGTTTTAAGTATTATGATGCACTAATGGATTTAAAAATATTTGATGTGTTTCAATCAATCGCCATTGTTATTTTTATTAATATTCAACTTGGCTTCCAAGTCTTTTTGACGTGATCTGACTTATTTGCTTGATTTCTAATATGACAAGATCTCTTACATTCCATATTCAACTCATGTATTTTCTGCCCCAGATCAGGAATTGGCCATTTCTCCAGAGTCCTGGTTCCTTTCAATGGGAAATGACATTTAGAGACCAAACTCGGGGCTGCAGGGTTGTCAGCCTACTAGGTTGATCATAGTTTCTAGGGCTTTTTAGTAGAAAGCATTAGGAAGTTCTCCTTCTTCCTTTCTTCTTCTTCCTCTTCTTTCTCTTCTTCTTCTTTTAAAATATATTGTGAGTTCATATGACATTTTCTTTTTCTTTTCTTTTTTTTTTTCTTTTGGAGACAGAGTCTCACTTTGTCACTCAGGCTGGAGTGCAGTGGCTTGACCATAGTCCACTGCAGCCTTGAACTCCTGGGTTCAAGTGATCCTCCTGCCCCAGCCTCCTGAGTAGCTGGGATTATAGGCATACACCACCATATCTGACTAATTTTTTTATTTTTGTAGAGACAGGGTCTTACTATGTTGCCCAGGCTGGTCTCAAATTTCTGGCCTCAAGTGATCCTCCTGCCTTGGCCTCCCAAAGTGCTGGGATTGCAGACATGAGCCACCATGCCCAGCCAATATGACATTTCAAACAAGACTACGAGATGTTTTTTCAACCTCGTCATTCTCACATTTATATTTTTTCTCCTTATTGAAAATCCCATTTCTCAAAGACATCAATGAAATTACTTATTTGCTTTATTTCACAAAAAAATGCAACTGTCTTACAATAACTGTTCTAACACCCACCACTAACAATATGACTATTGAAATACATTTAAGGTTGTTATGTAGTTCTTTTTGGCTTTAGGGCATACCATAATAATGAAAATCAAATTAAAGTCACTTGAAGTAGTTCCTTCCTGTGTGGTTATTCCATCAACTCAGAGTGTACATTTCAGTTCATTTGTTTCATTTTGATTTTGTTTTATAGGGATTGCTTTTCAATTAAAAATATTTTATAATTACGTAAAATGATTACAAGTTTCCGAAGTCAAATCTACAACACCAGGCACATTCAGAGGAGTGTGACTTCTATCCCAGGCCCTCTAACCTGTCTACTTCCCAACGAAGTCTTTTTTAAGAAATAAAGTTATACGGCATAGTCTTTCATTAAAAAATAAGCAAACATTTTCATATAGCAAATTCTCTCTTTTTAGATGAACAGTAACATACTATAGACAATTTTTTCTACCTTGTTTTGTTTTCACTAGCCATAAAGTCTAAGGATCACTCCATATATTCCTTATTGTTTTTTACAGCTGTGTAGTACTCTGCCATGTGAACTGTACATAGTATTATTTGGATGTTAAACACATTTAATCAAAATTAAAATTTAAGGAACTTTCAGCATGGTCAGCTGAAACAGAATTCAGGTGTCTCTCAAAATTTGTCCTTCCTATTTATTTGTTATTTATTTATTTATTTATTTATTTACTTGAGACAGAGTCTCACTCTGTTGCCCAGGCTGGAATGCAATGCCACTATCTCGGCTCACTGCAGCCTCCACGTCCTGGGATCAAGCGATTCTCCTGCCTCAGCCTCCCAAGTAGCTGGGTACAGGCACGCACCACCATGCCTGGCTAATTTTTGTATTTTTAGTAAAGACGGAGTTTCACCATATTGACTAGGCTGGTCTCGAACTCCTGACCTCAAGTGATCCACCCGCCTCGGCCTCCCAAAGTGCTGGGATTACAGGCATGAGTCACTGTGCCCAGCCCAGTCTTTTCATCTATTTAGTGGCTCCACCCTGTTTGTGCAATTCCTACACACTTACCTCTGGGATACCCTCTCCAGCCTAAGCAAATGTTCTACATTTTTCAAATGATTTTCAGACATCTAAGATTAGCCCTTTATTGGTCCATCCCCTTAAAACCTTATTCTTTTTTAGGTGACAATGCATGCTGAGGAGTTCATTTAAAGGTAATTTCTGCAAAACATTTACCCATCGCATGTCACCTCTCCTGAGTAACAAGAGGCCTTGATCACAAACTCCACCTATGCCAGGGCATCACCAGTTGCTTTATTAAGCACCATGTTTTAGTGCTGTAGTACTGTTTGTAAAACAAAGCAACTAATACTCAGAATTTATGCTGGGTTCTTATTGGGAAGAAACATCCTGAAATAACCAAGAAGTAACAATAATGGTAAATCATATGTATAAGAGAATTCTAGAGATGAAGGCTGTGGCAACAGTCTTTCTTCCCTTTTAATATTCGTTATGTGGGTAGCAGTAATATCAAGTGTACAGATATTCTGCCTTGGAGAACCACCACGTGTATCTTTCTCTTCCTGGTACAATCTTTTTTTTTTTTTTTTTTTCTTAAACAGAGCCTCTTTGTCATCCAGGCTGGAGTGCAGTGGCACTATCTGGGCTCACTGCAATCTCTTCCTCCCGGGTTCAAGTGATTCTCCTGCCTCAGTCTCTCAAGCAGCTGGGATTACAGGCGCCCACCTCCATGCCCAGCTAATTTTTGTATTTTTAGTAGAGACGGGATTCGGGATTTCACCATGTTGGACAGGTTGGTCTCGAACTCCTGACCCCAAGTAATCCGCCCGCCTCAGCCTCCCAAAGTGCTGGGATTATGGGGATGAGCCACTGCGTCTGGCCCCTGCTACAGTCTTTACACTGAAAAACAGATGCACTACCACAGTATAAAGATGGGAGTTTACTTTGGAGACAGAAGACAGGAATGAACTGCATCAAAATGATAGGCTCAAAGTTAAAATATGAGAACCCTCAGTGATTTCACACACACACACGCATGCACGCACGCACACACGCATATGCACATATGCACGCCTATAGGTTATTTCTTTAGAACTAGCCACAGAACCCACTGAAACCCAGAGAGCTGTGGAACACAATTAGAAAAGGCCTTGGACAGGAGGACTGGAGTGAGCCTTCTGAGCAGCCCAGACCTCACACTACCAGGACAGAAGTTAGCAGCATAGGAGCAGCTGGCAGGACTAGAGCTGCCTGGCCATTGTGGCTGGGCTTCCTGGCATCTGTCTTGAAGTGAAGGGGGATTGGTTACTATTCAGTAACTTCAGGTTTTTTGTTTTTTGTTTGTTTGTTTGTTTTGAGATGGAGTCTCGCTCTGTCACCCAAGCTGGAGTGCAGTGGCGTGATGTTGGCTCACTACAACCTCTGCCTCCCGGGTTCAAGAGATTTTCCCGCCTCAGCCTCCCAAGTAGCTGGGATTATAGGCACTTGCCATCATGCCCAGCTAATTTTTGTATTTTTGTAGAGACAGGGTTTCCCCATGTGGGCCAGG